ATTGCTGTTAAGCTGATCACTCTTTATAACATTCTGGAGTATATGCAAATTGCCATTATAAAAACTGAAGCAGTAGACTTTGTAAAAATTAACATTTGAATCATTCTCAAAACTTTTGGCCATGACTGTACAGCATCAGTGCATCTCTACATTTAGCTGTAACACATAAAGATTTTTAAAAGTGAGGGACCTTAAGTGTGGACCACCATAGTTTTGATTTTAGCTTTCTGATGAACAGTTTACAGTATTTACAGAGAATTTTCTGTTGTGAGAATAATAAATTAGAACAATTCCATGAATCAGATTTCTTAGATTAGTGTGTCATAAAAATATGCAGAATGAGTGTTAACAAGAGTTGGTCTGTTTTTGTATTCATGTTAGTGTGCTTGTTTGAAGTAATGTGAGATATTTCATTGCAGCATTTTGTGATGATGGGACAACAAGTGAAACAGACAGTACCAGTACATCAAGTGAGGGTACAACTACAACTACTACAGGTAAGGCAAGAGAATAACATATAAGCAATAATGCTGATTGAATGCATGCAGACAGATTTTACTGTTAGTCTCTCTGTTTAACTGCTTTGTGTTATGCTTCTAATAAGTGACAATCATATGTTAAAGAAAAATTTGTTCAGTGAAGCTTGCAGTGTTGGGATATATAGGCCTTTGTAAAGATTTAACATTTTCCCCCTTTTACTGTCTCAAACGGCGTTATTTAAAATTGGCAAAGAGATTCAACTTACATGTAGAATACAGATTGGAAAGTATATAACATTTCTCTGGTAAAACTAAAACTGAACCTTATAGTCATCAGAGAATATATTTCATGTTACTAAATTCAGTCTCATCCTATTGAATATTTCAGTTTATAGTGTGATTTATTGACAGAAATTGACAAACAAGGAGAGAACTGGAGGATCAGTTTGTTTAGATCACAAAATTATATATAAAATATATATTTTGAAGATATTCCACTTCATACCAGTCATACAGACAGCTTTAGATTTAGTGGGTGGGAGCACTACTATACCTCACTAAAGGCATTTCCTTCTTTATTTTGTGCTAGTTTCACTTTTCTTGTGTGTGTGTGTGTGTGTGTGTGTGTGTGTGCGTGTGTGTGTGTGTGTGTGTGTGTGTGTGTGTGTGTGTGTCTGTCTATATGTAGATAAACACTCAGAGAGGCTGATCTGCCCAGTCTAAAAACATGTTGCATCTTTGATAAATGTTTTGATAAATAACAACAAAAAAAAGATGCAAAACAAATAAATATAACCCAAAATTCAGTTCATTTGGGCAGGAATCCTGCTAGTGGTGATAAGAATCTGTCATGTTGGAAAATAACACATCAGTTTAATTAGTTAATCTCAGTGGTGTTCCTACTATGATTAAAATAATGCATCTTTTAAATTGAAAATATAACAAACCCAAATTCGTGTGGTCCCCTAATTATGGGAGGTTATTGTTTGTTTTTTAATGTTCATATTTCATCCTTTTAGTTTTATGAAAGGAAAATTAAATTAATCAGAACAAAACAGGGAATCCAATACAACCTGTCAGTTTTTTAAGTGATCCTGAAATGATCAGTGATCATTTCAAGTCTTCCCACATCTGTACTCTGTTTTCTGTCCCAGTGAACAAACACTGCTTAGAATTAACTGGACCTTTAACTTCATGTTTCTTCATCATCTCCATTTTGTAGTTCTCAAGTTGAAACAGAGTTTGTTAGTGTTTCACAAAATAATAAAAACACATTTCTGTCGATTCTGCCTGTTTCAGTGAGCTCTGACCCTGGAGATGCTTCCACTACAAACGCAACAGCTGGTAAATCCACAGATCCTTTATTGTAATTAAATGATTGTTTGTGGCTTCCAGTTTTTTGATTTATTTTGTGCTTTATTTATTTACTGCTGAAGAGACTGAAGGATCTGGTTCAGATGAACCTGGTAAGTCAAGCTATTTGTTTCGCATCACAACACCAAAGTCAAAGTGCTAAAATGCCTCAAATTTCTTGATGAAATCTGGTCCGACAGTATTTTCTCTGACTCATTTCTGCAGATACTTCAACCAATAAATTTCCTATGACTGAAAAATCAGAAAGTTACATCGACAATGACCCATCCATCCTGATTGGTGCGGTTGTGGCGGGCATAATCATTGGTACCATCATTGTTGCTGGCGTTGTCATCTGGTGGAGAAGCAGTAAAAAAGCAGGGAACCAAGGTGAGTCTGCTGCAATGGGGAACCAGATGAATGTTCATGTTTTTGAAGTCTCAGAACATCTAAAACATCAGAATCTGAGTTTATTTACCAACTTTGTGTGAATAACAGTGGAATTTAACCTCAGTTTCAAGCATTCGGTCATTAACTATACGCATATACACTTAGAAGGGAAAAAAGGATAAAAGAAACAGTATAAACATGTGTTTGCGACCAACTTTGTATTAGTGTAAGTTTCCATCTTTTATCTATGCCAGCCTCATAGACACTCATATGGCGACAGATTTAAGCTGCTGCTGCAAAACTGATGAAGCTGTAATAATATCCTCTCCCTTTCTGAAGGTTTTATGCATGAGGGCATTTAAAATGATCTGAGGTTCAACAGTCATTCAGACCTAACAGATTCCATGCTGCCCGTTAGTTAGTAAAAAAAAAAAAAATAATAACAAAATCAAATAGTAGAAAAACCTGGTGATCCAACAGCTTAGATCATCCTACAGCAACGACTGCAATTTTTCTGTCTGGCTTTCTCAGTCATTGTGGAAGAAGTTCGGCCCTGAGGTTTGCAGACATTTTTGTTATCTATGGCTCTTAAGTTTGCACTACGACTTTTCAGTCTGGTTGAGGTCTGGGATTTAATTAGGCCACTGAAGCAAGTTTCAGCTGTCAGGCTATAACACATTGAGATTTCAATTGAAGATATAAAGGGCTTTATAAATGAAATGGCTTATTATTATTATTATTATTATTATTATTATTATTATTATTATTATTATTTAATTAGTTTCTGGTCAGCTCAGAGCAATTCCCCCCAGCAGTCTGGCTGTCAAACAAGCCCAAATCATCACACCTCCACCACCGTGCTTCAAAGTCAGTGATAAGATTGTCGTCATTAACTAAAACTCAGAAAAAAAAATGAAAACTGAAATTGAGGAAACATTTTCTTTAATGTAAATAACTGAAAATGGTCATTAATGAAGGAGAAAACATAACTAACTGGAGCAATCCGTGCGTTTATAAAACTAATCAAAATACACTAAAATTATAGTTTTTGGTTTATGAATAGATTAATTGGCCTTTCCAGCTGATGTGAAATTGTACTTCCCCCCACAACACAAGCAGTTCACATCAGTTAGCAATAAATTTTGGTATCCCACAATCCTCCTGGTGGTGCTGCCACTAATCCTCAAAATGGCAACAACAAAAGTTGGGAGAAAACACCAGAGTCAGCTGGTTGTTCAACAATGATTAATACATTTTTTTTAAAATGCTTTCTTCTGTTGCGTAGTCATTGTCCAGTCGTTGTTTACACAATCACAACACAAAACTTTGACCTTTTTAAATTCTGCACCTGAAAATGAACTATGAAAAAACTAAAACTACTGCTATAAACACTAATATTCAATTAATACAAATCATAAACACGAAAAACTGATTAAAACAAACTGAATTAGACAAACAAAAAGTCTCAACTAAATAAACCTAGATTAAAAGAAACCAACACTCTGATAACTCTGGTTGTAATAAGTTTATTATTTACTAAAATCTGTTTCATTCAGTGGCCATTTTGCAAACATTCTGCCGTCATGTTCTATTTTAGAGGAACTCTGTCAAACAAGCTGCACTAGTTCCTTCTTCTTCTATTAGTCATGTTGTAAACTTTAACACTAAACATCCGAACTGAGTCACTATTAAGCAAACTGGGTGTTTTTAGGCCTTTAGAACAACATCGACATTTTGAGCAGTAACCCAGGTTGACAAGATATTTGTCCATATCCTTTTTTTTTTTTAAACAAACAAAAATCTGAAAAGTGTGGTGTGCATATGTATCTAACCCTGTGATGTAAGGAGAGCCACCACTCCTTCAGCTACAACTGTGCATTTCAAGTGTTAAAATTCTAAATTAGACTTTGGTCCAGGAGATTTGAATGTTCTGATCTGAACCCTTTACTGCAGCTCTGGTTGGATGTTCAGGACTGAAGTTCTACGCCCAACATTTAGCTGAGAGGACTGTCCGGGTTTTAGTATCTTACGTCTCCCGGTTGACTCTAACTAGCTTTTCAATCTCAAATGAAGAAATGCATCTCAGCATAATGCAGCCACTGCTGTGTTTCACAGGATGGTGTGTTTGTGTTCAGCCACCTCCATGCTTTGTTAGCTTCCTGTCTTATAAAAAGTTACATTTTGGTCTCATATTTGACGAGAGCAGCTTCTTCTGTACCTTCCTGCCACTTTTCCACAGAGGTCAGATTTATGCAACTTGTAGTTATTGTGTAAAGAGTTCCCACAGTCCTATTGAAAGTAACATGCCATGTTCATAGGACCAGGGTTATGAGACTTTTGGGTTATTTATTGTAGCTTAGTTTTATTTTGTTTTGTGTAATTCTGTTAGTTTTCATTAGTTTTTAAAGTGTGTTTGCTAGTTTGTATAAGTTATTATTAGTTAAATAGTTTTTTCATACTTTGGTTCATTTGTAATTCAAAAATAATTTAAAAAAAGGTCAGAATATTGTGTCGTGATTACATAATTATCAACCGGGCAATGAATACTCAATTCAATTCAAAAATAATTTAATTCATTTTTAAAAAATTAATTCAATTATTGTTGAACAACCAACTGAGTTGGTGATTTCTCCCAACTTTTGCTGTCACCATTTTGTAGACTATGTGCTGCCATGTAGGTCCATAACTTGATGACAGTTGACTTCTGGGGGGTGAGGAGTGTTAATTAATCTATTTATTAGCATTTCAAAGTGATGTGAAATTAACACAAAAATAAAGGTTATTGCATCTACAATTTCAGCATGTTTTAGACCCAGTTAGCCTTTCCCCACCAATTGCTGATTTCTATTTCAGTTAAATTCTTTTCTCAATTTCAGTTGTCATTGTTTGGTTAGTTTTAGTTAACTAATAATAACATTGTGTAGGACTTTCCTGTTATTTGCTGATTTTAGTCCTTTAGCTTAACCCAAAGTCAAACCAGAGGTTAGGATCAAAATGCACAATGGTATCAATCAAAATAAGTGTAATTTTTCTAGATATGCGTCTGTAATTCTGTTTTTTTTTTTTTTTTTTTTGTTCTTCTAACATTGACCTTAACTGTTTGGCCTCTCATCCAGAGCTTACAAAAGAAGACCCACACTTAGACGGACCAAGCTCAGAGAAGGTCCCTATGTAAGTTGAACCGTCTGCCGACGTGAAATGCTGTCGGCTATCAGGCAAAAAGATCTTTTCTGTCCATGGTTTTGCAAAAACGTTACCCTGCTGCTGTAATTTCCTGTTAATGCAACCTAGTTGGTGTGCGACTCAAAACTTGTCGTCAGAATAAATGTATGAAATGTTTCGCACAATCCTCCGAAATGGCGTGTGTGTGTGTGTCAGGCCAAAGTTCGAAGAAGACGTGCCGTCTGTGCTGGAGCTTGAAATGGATGAACTGGACCAGTGGATGAAGAAAGACAGTAGGTTTCATCTGTTTTTGTTACAGTAACAAGAGTCATAAATAAACGAGAGGTTATAGTTATAAGACCTAACTATTTCTCCATGTAAACCTGGACTTTATGAAGGAAATGTTTATGGTGGGAAATATTTTTAGTTTTATTTTTAGTACATTGTAAATACATACATTCTTGGCTTCTCTTTGGCAGCTCTGTGTGATGAAATAGTTTGTCCAGCAGAGGTCAGTGTTGCTCTGTAAAAGCTGATCACAGTTTTCTGCGGCATTTGTCCGCTTAACCTGTAAAAACTGATCATGTAAAAAAACTTGGAAATACAGTTAAACATTTAGTACTTTATAAGTAAATGTTTATATATCTTTGTCAGTCTCTGATAAAGTAATTACGTTACAGGCAAATGACAAACAATGACTTGGTTTTGATCACTAATTTAAAGATATAAGCAAAAATATTTATGAAGATATATATATATATATGAAAAATATTTTTAACAGGATCAGATTCTGTCAATCAGTTGTACTTATTTTATTTGTTTATCTCAGAATTTATTTATTTATTTATTTATTTATTTATATATTTATTTATTCCATAATGGTGTTTAATTTTGTGATGGACCACAGGAACTCCATGTGTTCACATATTATCTGCTTCATGTTACAACATTGCAACAGTTGTACAAAAAAAAAAAAAAAAAAAAAATATATATATATATATATATATATATATATATATATATATGTGTGTGTGAAAGAAAAAGAAAAAAAAACATTTTCATAAAAGTTGCCTACTGCAGCTTTAACTGAAGAAACTGGAAGGAATGCCTAATTCAATCAAAAAGAGGATCCCTGAAAGTCTAAATTTAGTTTATCTCTGAATGACGGAGTAAGCTTAACAAATGGTAAAAAAAAGATAAATGTTTTTCTGAAAATGAACTGAAAATAATTTTTAAAAAGCAGTAAAACTAAACAGAAAAACACTAAAATACCCTAAACGCCTGAGAAACTCATTGAAAGACAGCAGGACAGAGCTGAAGGAATGGGCAACGCTTTGAGACTTCCAATGTATTTACTAATCCAAATAACAGAAAATATGGATAGATATTGTGAAAATGCATTTGTGGACATTTTTAAATTCCTTTAGTCCTTATGGAAAAGCGTTTCATGTAGAACAGCCACAGTGAAAAATGACCAATGAAGCAACAAGCTGCAGCCCCTGAAGGCCTAAATATCGACTATTAGCAGCACTCCTCGTGTCCCAGCGAATTGATAACATGCAGGTTCTGGCACGATAAACCCAGATTGTCACTGTGATGTGTTTGTTGTGATGTGTTGTGATGCACCAGCTGCTTTGGGCCTAGCCCTGACCGGTGAACTGTGGACACTTTCGTCATCTCGTGTGTCTGGGAGCATAAACCCTCCTGACATCTGCTAGCGATTACGACAGGCATGCACATTTGGAAGTGTGGTGCAACCTAACCCTGGAACGGTGCTGCTTTACTGGAAGCGCTGGGAAGTGAGGTCAAGGTCCACACGGCTGACTGTTGACCAACCTCGTTTACAGGCTGTTTTGTTTCCCAGGCTTTTACTTCCAAAGCTGACTAAAGGTTAGCCGTCTCTTTGTACACACACGGGGTTATGTAAGGGATCTCAAAACAGAAGTATACGTGAGGTTGTTGCTGCTGTTGCTGCTGTTGCACAATGCGATGCCATCCTCTGCAGCAGCTGTGCTCTGTTTGTTAAACCTGGGAAATTCCTCTCTCACTCAAGCAAAACTACGACGTCGTGTTAGGGCCATTGTAGATAGAAGAAAAAAAAGGAGGAGTAAGTAAAATTTTTAGATTAATCTCAGAAATATTCTGGAAAAAAAAAAGAATTTTCTGAGAACATTTTTTGACTTTTGAAACTGAGTTTTGAAAAGTTTTTCTTTTTTCTAGAAAATTTCTGACTTTTCTAGCAAATTTTCAACTTTTCAAGCTTGGAAATGTCTATTTTTTTCTCAAAAATTTCTGAGATTAATCTAAAAATTTCTGAGATTTTTGGTGGAAATTCACTCCTCTTTTTTCTATCTACAATATCCCTAATACGCAGAACAAATGCAAAACAGAGCTTCACATTAGGGAGCAAAAGAAGCAAATCAACTGTGTCTGAATCTGCTTTTAAGGTGCTTTTTTCCCTCCGAAGCAAGTTAAGCAATAGAATTTTCTTCAAAATAAGAAACACTTCAATCCAACACTAACCTTATAAACAGACAATCCTAAAAACCCGAGGTAAACATCTCCGTTTGAGTATTTCAGAGTCAAACTGGTCGAGTTTCAACTTGTTCCCTCCACTCGATGGGAACCGCCAACTGAAGCGAAAATGTGCTGAGCAGGAAGAAAACGAAGAATTTGTTCCCTGCAAAACTACAGCAATAAATAAAGAGGTCACGAATTGTATTATTACAGCTTGATAGCATAATGCTTCAATTTTTTTATCCTCATTTATTTCCTCCAACAACTGGAAGCTGTGACAGCATAGTAGTGGCAGCTTCCGGCAGCTGACACTAGGGGTGCCAGAGCTGCTGTTTTGGGGAACATGTTCGTAATATTGTCTGTTTGTTATTTTTAAAATGTTGATGTTATTGGCTATTAAGACTTGTACTATTTTTACTGGCTTTTACTTGATGGAGTAAATTGCAGTTTTCACATGCTGACACTACTAAGCTGTGTCAGCTTCCGGCAGCTACCACCGGAAGCACCATGGCTAGCTGCCACTGCCACGGACTGAGCTCCCTGTCTCTCCACCCAAGAGAAAGTTGTTCTATCATAATTATTCCTAAAATTCCATCAAACCGATGCATGGGAATGATCTGTAGTCAGAGGAAAGTTGTACTTGTCAAAAATTCAAGAATTTCACTAGATACTCAAAATTGCCATGATTCACACTTTAACCATTCCCAGCTATTCAATGACCAAATGACCTTCAATGTGAATTACCAGGAATTTTTATGGATGCTGGCGTTTCTGTTGCTTATTTCAACCCCAGGTCTGTTTTTAACCTTTCAGTCCAGGTCTGACTCTTGCTCCTTTTGTTTCTCCATTACAGGTTAGAGGATGACGCATCCCAGACCGTGCTTCACTTCCATCTTTCATATTTCAACTCTTTCTTGACTATTTTTCCTCAAACCGGACGTGCTTATTTCCTGTCTGGAGTCAACAGTGTTATGCTGGACACAACGCAGCGAAGTATCCGTCTCAAAGGAGCTGCACCTCCTGGTCGTCCCTCAGTGGAGACAAACTGCTACTAATGTCATTACTTACGCTTTGTTTAATGTGTTTCATTCAGATCCATGCACAGTGTTTCAATGCACATTTCATCTGATCTTTTGCGCCTAAAACACAGGAAAAAAAGAAAAAAAAAAACCTCAACCAAATGTGTCCTCAGTGTCTCTAGATTCACACAGTTGGTCTGTGTGTGTTCAGCTCGGCGTGTAATGGGAAAATAACCTTCCCCAACCCTTCCAGATGACTGCTCACTGCTCCCCCGGTGGCTTTTCCTCTTGCTCAAATGTTACATGACTCCCTCCAGCTGCAGGTTGTAATGACTGTGGGCAGGCATGACGGAGAACATCTGTTTGTTATCGTTTGCAGAACAGCTCTGGATTTACACAGAGATTGTTTTTATTCTAAGTCTCCGAGTCGTCGAAGCAATGAGACTCTGGCTTCCGAGGCTTTTGATAAATTATTGGCCACTTCGCCAAAGTGGCTGTTGATCAGATAAGAGATACCAGATGAATATCTTGACTAAATTCCTCTGATCGCCTGATGCTTCTCACAGATTTTCTTCCCCCCCGGTTTTGCCTGTAAAAGTTGTCGGATGTGAACGAGTAAACACTGATGCAGATGTGAGTCCTTTGAGATTCAGGCAGTGTTGGACGTGAACTTGCACTGTAAATATTTCAATGCCAAAATATGTTATTGTGACATTTCTGTAAATATATAGCATGTGGAGTTTTGTTTGGCTTGTGAAGCTCTTCAGTTCCATGATTAAAGTGTCCCGATGAAAAGACGATGCGCAGAGCTATTGGTTGGATGGATCTTTAATTATTTAGAGATTCATGACATAAATCCTACAAGCCTGAGTCTGGCTTTGGTTCCACATCATTTGGCTCGTGCTTTTAGCTCTTTGCCCTCTCAAAACGACCTTCAGTTTGACCTTCAGTTTGCTAAAGCTCCACAACAAAACCCTCCTATAATCCCATTGGATAGATTCCTCTGGCTCCATAATGAGTCAAACTGATGGATGGATGGATGGATGGATGGATGGAGGGGTGTGTGGGCGGGCGGACGGACGGATGGATGGATGAATGAACACATGGTTGAACAGATGGACGGATGGCAGCAACACCCATTTTTACTCTTTTCTTCCTCATTAATGCTAACGCTACCATCCATATTTGGTCCTTTTTCAACATTTGGAGCCTCCCAGTGTTTCTAAACCTCGGGCCTCAGCGTGTGGTCCGGTCCAGTGTTGAAAATCCACTGCTGAGCCTGTCTGCTTTCCTCTCTGAGTCTGACCGTCTTATGGCCGTTTGTGCAAAGCTGATTACATTCACACCCAGGGAGGGTCTGAGGGCGCGGGAACAGACAATCCAAAGCAATGAATACAAATGAGAAACGAGGCTTCGGCTGCAAACACAGCGCAGCAGGCCCGACTTACTCACAACAAACTGACCCCCGAAACACTTTCAGTCTGATCCAATATTCTCCAATTTTATTTGGTGTTTATTGGGAAATCTATCAAATTATGTTCTATCCTCAAGTTTTTAGTAACCCTAAAAATGAAGATTCTTTTGAGTGTTTTTGATAAAGGGCCACTTTTTTTCCTCCAAACATTTGTTATTGCACCAAATCTAATTCCTAAAACTGGTCTCATTCTGGTTGCTGCTTGCAGAAAGCGAAACATTTTACAGAAGAATCTGATTGTGGCCAAACTGTTTTACAAGTAAACAAAACTACAGTTTCTCATTAAACACAACTTTTGATTTTCATCACTTCTGCTTTTCACTGCACCAGGTGAGAGAAGAAACGTACACAAGAGTGAGAGAAATAAGACGTTTTTCTCCAGAGGATGGGTACAAGAAATCCTATTTTCTCTGTGAATTCTATTTTGTTCATGTTTGTTTCTTTTTTTGACTGAATCAGCGTCTGCCCAGATGTTGCTACCAGTTATGTTATGACTTTATACTTTTGCCAGACACACCAGTGTTCCCTGTTAGTTTGATTTAAGGAGCTACAATGTTAGCTTGGTTAGCGTTTCAGATGCAAACATGACACACCAGAGGATCCATGTGTGTTTTTGTCACTGTAGAAGACTTCACTTCACTTCGGTTTTGTTTTGAGCCTGCCTCCGGCTTTAGAGAAATGATTTCCCACAGGATTTGGACAACATGAGACAGATTTGTGTGTGCTTTTAACACCTAGACATCGTGTCCTGCATTTGTATGATAACCGTGAGCAAAGCAGGAGAATAAGAATGGCATCGCTTTCTAGGAAAGTTGAGACTGTATAAAATGCAGACACAAGGAACGGGGAATGTTCCCCCTTTAGGTTTTCTTTAGCAAATCAGTTTCTAAATCCATCTGGAACAAGCTGAAAATATACTCCCTAATTTTAGGAGTATAACTGACTGGCTTCCTCAGCAAACAAAGAGCTAAATGAAACACCGTAAAATACCTGGTTTAAGAGCATTTGGGAACAAAGTGAGAACATCAACAGCCCTCCTTTGTTTCCAGGGTGTGCTTTTCATGTCACTGACTGCATGCTGGCCTCGGCTGCACACTTCCCAGGATCACATGCTCGCCGTTCGTGATATCTCAGGGTTTCAGACTCTCCCCTGAGGATCCGTGGGCAGGGCATGAAAATTACTGCAAGTCAAAACTAACCAATGCTGGCACTCTAGGTTTAACTTAAGTTGTACACTAATCGACAACTAAGAAAAAAATAATAATATAAGGAGGCTCAAAATGCTGAAAGGAGTTAAGCCTTGAGTGCATGAGTTTATGAGTTTGGAAGCATCATGCAAATTGCTCCCTTTCTGGATTGTTTGTATATGATTATTCACAATGTTCTGCCCGTCTTCATTTGTAACGTAAAAACAAGTGATGCTGGATGTTTCAGTTTATTGTAGCATCCTTCAAGAAACTCAGGACGCGTCCATTAAAATGAAACCAAGCCCTTGTCCAGTTTGACTCGCTGAGTGTCGGTCAGGATGCAGAACTGGATCTTACGATCATGCTGTCTTCTTCAGTGAAGAATAATTAAGTGTACAATCACTGTATCTCTTTAAGGAGGCGTTGTATGTGTCTGTGTGTGATCCTAAAACACAGTAAGGAAGAATCTCTAAATAACATCAGGAAACTCTTACAGCTAAAGATTCTTACAGTCATTAATCCACCAATAAACATGAAGAATTGACGAAATCATAATATTCAAATTCAGCTTAAGGGCTGCACAGATCTACCATCATTGATTGGCTGGATTCATTTACAGACTGTGATAAACGACAAATCATGCCAATGGGAATTATTGAATTTGCTTAAATTTATTATGCGATTAATTGATTATTGTTACAGGCCCATT